TGTAGTTAATAAAGGAATAATGGATGTTATGGGATTAAATACTTGATTGTATAATTGTATAATGTTATTATTCCTGAATTAATGAAATTAATTATAAACTATTATAAAATCTGAACTTGGAATAATAATCAACTTGGATAATTGAAAATAATATTTAAAGTTGATAAAATTAAAAGATGATTAATGGATGAATATTAATACTAAGAATGATGACGAACTTAAAAGATATTGGAATACATTAAATGAAAGGTCTAATTCCCTTTCTAAAATAACTGAATCAGTGGTGCCTTCTAAAATGATGAAACAACAGTCTTACTTCTGGGAAAGGATTATAAACTCCTTAAAAGAACTGTTAAGTCACATTATTAGGTGGCTCTTGAGAAAACTGAGAACCACCAGTGACAGCAAGGGGACAAGTACAACAAGTGCTTGGATTTAGTTCAGTAGTTATCAGTGGGTTTTGGGAGTATAGAAAGACAAATAATAATAAAGTAAATAATTTTCTATACTATAAGATAATAAAGGTAAAGAAACTGAATAAAACAAATAAGAAACAATTAAAGGAAAGATAGTAAATATAGAAAAGAGAAAATATGGTAAATTCTAATCTAAAAACAATAAGAAACAAAATGGAATAGTTTCGCTAGGACTTTGTAAGGATTTAAAAGATGGATAGGTTCTAAGAATGAAAAAAGTGAGTTATGGCTAAGTCACATGACAGTTTGAACGAAGAATTAAAGATCAATGGTTTATTTTAAGACTCTGGATTATACAATGTAAACTTTATTTATAATTTATAAACAAATGTAAAGAAATAAATAAACATGTATATAACTTATTTATAGATAAAATAAAAATTTTATTAAGAAAATAGAGAAAATACAAAAAGAAATAAAGAAAGTAAAAAAATCTTTCCTGTGTTTATTCAAAAACTATCTAAAGGATTAATCAAAATTCAATAATCACTAATTGATTATTTGTTCTATATTGATTAATACTTAATTGTTCATTAATAATTGATCACTTGTTTTTACATGAGGAAGGAAAATTAAAGCTACTTTTATAGTTATTTCAATTCTATTCAAAAATATAAATTAATCTATTAATTAATTATATAATAAAAGTGAAAAAAAAGAAAAAAAAAGAAAGAAAATAATAAAATAGACTTAATTCTAGTCTTGCTTAGCTTTTTGACTACTGTGGAGGTGGTGACTAGGGATGGGAGGCGCAATACAAATTGAGCTAGGAATTTAGTCAGATTTAATTTAGCCAATTGAGCTCAGGAATTAGTCTTGGTGCAATTGGACACAATAGCTAAATTCTGGCGCAAAGGCTAAATACTGGTGCAAAGGCTAAATACTAGCGCAATTTTAATTGGTTGGTGTAAAGATTAAATGTTGATATAATTTTGATTAGCTAATATAAAGATTAAATTTTAGTGTAATTTTGATTTGTTAGTATAAAAATTAAATGTTAATGTAATTTTGATTAATAATATAATTGTAAAATTTATTGAATAATTGTTTTTATTTATATGTAATTTTAAATTAATTTTTATTATAAGGAATGATTTTTATTATTATATTTTTGTAATAAGAAAATGTGTTTTATTTTGAGAAGGAATTGAGAGAGAGAGAAAGAGAGAGAGTGAGAGAGAAAAAGAGAGAGAGAGAGAGAAAGAGAATGAGAATTTTAATAGTTATGTTGATTTAAAATTTAGTTGGCACAATTAAATTGAATTTAAATTTAGCTGGTGCAATTAAATTAAACTGAAATTTAGCTGGTGTAATTAATTGAGTCAGAATTTAGTCAGAACGAAATCATTTAGCCAGGGCACAATTAATTGAGCCAGCTTGATATTAATTGAACCAACTATCTCTAGTGGTGGTAGTTCAAAACATTTGTATCTTCGCCTTGATAAGTAGTCTTTCATTAGGAAGAGTGATCACCATCTAAGCAAAACAACAATTTTCGCAGTAATCTGCAGTAAACCACGGCATTCGCAGTTTGCAGTATATCAGAAGTCACATGGTACGTAACAGGTGCAACTGAAAGAATTTATAAATATAGGTGGAGAAAGAGAATGAAGAATTAAGATTTTTAAGATAAATTTGGGGATGAAGGGAATGGTGAAAAGGACAGAAATGAAGTGGGTAATACAAGGTAAGTGGATAAGTAAAGGTAAATGGTAATAAGTATTGATAAGTAATATCAAGAAAAGAGAAAAAGAGTAGAAAGGAGGTAACGACAATTAAAAAGAAAATTATATAGATGAAGATTAACAGTAACAGGGTATGATGAATGAAAACAAGAGTGAAAATGTAATAACAATGAAGAGAATAAAAAAAAAATTAGTAACACCATACAAGCTACAAATAAATCATACAAGTCACTATTTATATAGTATAAAATAGTATTTTATACCATACAGTTTATCTGTATACCCATTGATTGAATTCAAATTTTGATTTTTTGACCTGTATTAATCACATAATTTATATATGATTTAAGCTAATTTTCACAAAACATATTTATAAATTTTATTTTTATATTTAGAAATTTTAACCTTAACTGGTTAAGTTATCTAAATTGATTTGAAATATAAGCTTAACTAAGTTAATTTTTTTAAATTGACTTTGAAATATTACTTTTATAATATTTTATAAATTAAATAAAATTTTATTATAAAAGATTATGTAACTGACAAAGATTACATTTTATATTCAGGTTTCTTTTTCTAATATATTTTTGATTGACCTTTTATCCCCAGATTAACAATAACATTTATGTTCTCCAATATAATTAATTATTATAATTTATTACTGGATCTTAAAAATATTAATTATTTTAAAATTAGTTATAAAAATAGATATAATTAATATATATTACTAATTTAATACTTGTTTGAAAAGATTTAATACTTGATCAAATATAAATGAGAAATCTGAATTGTAATTATTTATATGTGTAATATTTTATATAATAAAATTTGATAATATAATAAAAATGTAAATTAGATTTTATAAAAATATCTCTAATATATAGAGAGTTGTAATAGAAAATAATTTTAAAGACAAAACTCAAAAAGTTAGTTATTACATTTATTGAGATGTGAATTTTACAAAGTTAACTATAAATATAATGATAATTTAATAAAATTTTATAATATTTTAATTGCTAATCATAATTTCAATTATATATCTTTTTGATTAAATAAATATTTGATATACAATTGCTTCTACTGTAGCCATAACAATTTACTTAATATTTACTTTTTCAAAGTTAATATTCATAAATATAACATAATAATATGTATGGCAACTTTATATTTATATTATTTACATTTGCATTTTCCTTATTTGAAATATTTAAAAGTTTGAGAGTGATTAAAAAATGAAAAGATGAAAAGATAGAATAAAGAGATAAAGAGATAGAATAGAGAGATATAATTATGCTTGCATACAAAATTATTTTGAAATCCTGAAATTATAATTTCAAAAAAAAGTTAAAATAGTTTTTCATAAAAGACAAAATTATTTTACTTAAAATCCAAAATTTTTTGACTATTTAAATAAATTCTTTAATTAAAGATACACTTAACTAGATACTTTTTTTTACTTCCATATAGAATAAATTCTGAGTAAATCTCAAAAAGATGAAATATCCCAAAATCAGAAATCAGTTTTGAGAACATGTATTAAATAACTTGAAAAGGGAATTTTTTTGGTGAAAAGATTAATTTAAATCATTACTTTATTACTGTTAATAAATAATTAATTAATTAGTGTTACCAGACTTTTTTGTCATGTTTGGTGACATAGTTTAACCTAAAAAGAAATTAGTACCTAGTCAAGATAATGACGCCCGTGGGATTTTCCTTCAGGCTTTTACTGGTAGAGCCTTTAGTATGCCAATTGGCTGTCTAGAGTTGACCAGGTGCCATCCGTCCTACCTCCCAAAATTATTTATTATTATTATTATTTTTTACATTTTATAATAATTGATAGCAATAAATTAATTAATTAATATAATTAATATAATTGATATAATTGATATCACAAATATAAAATAATTGTGTGCACTACCTTTTTTATAATACTTTTTTTACTACAAAAAATAATAATAAATCTACTTTCCCGCATCGTCACAACAAAAAAAAATAAAAAAATAATAAAAATATATAAATTTTATTATACAAATGAGTAATAGTAGTAATGGTGGTAAAAGTTCTTCTCCTTCGGGATTAAGTCATAATAATAATAGTGGTAGTTTAAAATCAATAAGTAATAACCAACAACGAAAGGTACCACCTGTCACTAAGAAAACCGTAAGTTTAGGTCCACCTCCCAGACCTCCTCGTGCAAATATACCAAACAACTTCCATAATACTAGTGGTAACAATAGTATTAATATTAATGTTAATAAAAATAGTAGTAGTAACATTCATGGACCTTTATCTAGAAGTCCTTCAGCAGGTAGCGCGTTACCTAAATCTCAATTATTAGATTCACCTACTTCAAAACATATTTCAATAAGTAATAATAATAATAATAATAATGGTGGTAGTGGTTATAGTTCACTTAAAACATCTGCCATCAATGTACATGGAGATAATGATAATAATGAAAAAGATGGGGGCAATAGATCGTTTAAAGGAGTTTTGAATAATTTTGTTAATCAAATGCAGGGTAATATTTTTATATAATCATTATTTTAATATAATAATAATAACGGTTAACGGTTAATAACTCTATAATAATAATAATAATAATAAATTTATTTTTATATAATAGATTTTTTATCAACAGCAAAGAGAGTAGAAATTTCATCACCTTATGATCCAGTACACTTGACACATGTTGGATTTAATCAAGAAACTGGAGAATTTACGGTAAATATAAATCTTATTTAAATTTAATTTTCTTTAATTTTAATTTTAAATTTTAATTTAATTTTAATTTTTAATTTAATTTAATTTTATTTAATTTAATTAATTTAATTTAATTTAATTTAATTTAATTAATTTAATTCATTAATTTGATTAAATAAATAAATATATATATTTATTTATTTATATTTATTTATTCACTGTAATATAGGGTTTACCAAAAGAATGGCAACAACTATTGCAAGAATCGGGTATTTCAAAACAAGATCAACAAGCTCATCCTCAAGTATGTAAAATTGCAATACACTCAATAATATCATATATCTATATTAATATAATATCTCCTCTTTATGTGATTATATCTTTTATCTCTTTTTATATTATCTAAATAATTAGGCAGTAATAGATATAGTACAATTTTATCAAGATACCGCAGGAGGAAAAAATCCAAATGCAATTTGGGAAAAATTCAATAATGCGAAAATAGCTAATAAATCTTCTCCACCAAGTTTAACTCCAACTTCACCTCGTTCGGTTGAAAAATTATTTGAAAATCCTGTAAGTGTATTACATCTTTCATCATCATCAATTATATACATCATCTTATTTTTATTAATTAACGTGATAATCAAAGAATAAGAAATAAGAAATAAGAAGAATGATATGAATAATAAGAATAATAATTATAGAATAATAATTATAGAATATAATAGAATAACAGAATAATATGAAAATAGAATAATTTGAATAATAGAATAATAGAATAATAAAATAATATTAGAACAAGATAAGATTAAGATAGAATATGATAGAATATGATTGATAGCGAATATAATAACATAAAAATCTTTGGGCAGGGTCACAACATAAAAGGAATGATGAAAATGATGAAATTCATTTCTTTTCGTTTTCGAATTAGAGAACTGCTCCGACACCACCTGAAGCAAGAAAAAAACCACCTCCACCTGCTGTTCCTTCTAGACAAACTCAAAATCAAAATCAGCCGGTAAAAATTATTATTATTATAATATTTATAATATTTCTATTTTTTTATGTAAATTTATTTGATTTATTTATTATTTTTTATTATTACAGGATCAACATAAACTCAATAATCGATCAAAATCACCAAATTCTATATCCAAACCATCACGAAATAGTAAGTAAAATTGAATAAATATTAATTAATTGTAATAAATTATAATAAATTAATGTAAAAAAATTAATATTTAAATAAATAAATAATAATATAAATAGATCATGAACCTCCAAGACTTCCACCAATACAACCAATGCAAACATTATCTTCTTCTCTTGATAATAGCAATAAACCAATTCCAGCTTTACCTCCAAAACCAATCGCCAAACCACCTCGTACCAAAGATACTTCTACCATCAACAATAATAATAATAAAAATCAAGGATCATTCGTAACCCCTTCTACAACTAAAAGTCCTATACAACATCAAGATAGGCATCATCATCAACAAGAGAGACATCAACAAAAACAACAAATAAGTAATTCCCCTTCAATTAAAAGTCATCAACCCCCACCTCCACCACCATTAACTACAAGTAATAATAATAATAATAATAATAATAATAATAATAATAATAATAGTAGTAGTGGTGGTGGTAATCAGAGAAGACGGGATCCTCGTAAAGGAGCTAAAGATAATAGTGATGTTATTGAAAGGTTAAAAGCTATCTGTACTGATGCTGATCCAACGAAATTATATCGAAATTTGGTTAAAATTGGCCAAGGGTAATTATTTTAATTTTAATTTTATTTTATTTTTATTTTAATTGTATTTTAACTTTTAATTTTTTTAATTACTTCTAATAAAAAAAAAATATTATTATTATATTAGAGCATCGGGAGGAGTTTACACAGCATATCAAGTAGGAACTAATATGTCAGTAGCCATCAAACAAATGAATTTAGAACAACAACCCAAAAAAGATCTTATCATAAATGAAATTTTAGTTATGAAAGAATCAAAACATCGAAATATAGTAAATTATATTGATAGTTTTTTGTGGAAAGGCGATCTTTGGGTGGTAATGGAATATATGGAAGGTGGTAGTTTAACGGATGTTGTTACTAGTAATATAATGACGGAAGGACAAATTGCTGCGGTGTGTCGAGAGGTAATTATAAATACATAATATAAAATAATATGAATATGATTTTATTTATTATTTAATTCTTTAATTTATATTTTAATTTATATTTTAATTATTTATTTAGACATTAGAAGGTTTAGCACATTTACACTCAAAAGGAGTTATTCATAGAGATATTAAGAGTGATAATGTTTTATTAGCATTAAACGGAGAAATCAAATTAAGTGAGTAATTAACATGACATTAATATTACATTAATAATAATAATAATAATATATATTTATTTATTTATTTATTTTTGTTATTAGCCGACTTCGGATTTTGTGCACAAATTAATGAACATCATAATAAACGTACTACGATGGTGGGTACACCATATTGGATGGCACCAGAAGTGGTAACTCGAAAAGAATATGGACCAAAAGTTGATATATGGTCATTAGGTATTATGGCTATAGAAATGGTGGAAGGAGAACCACCTTATCTAAATGAAAATCCTTTAAGGGTGAGTTATCATTTTATTAATATTTATAGTTGACAATATTTATGATATTTTATATACGTGATGATATATTTATGATATTTATTATAGGCATTGTATCTCATTGCAACAAACGGAACACCACAATTACAAAATCCAGAAAGTTTATCAATTGTATTTCGAGACTTTTTAAATAAATCTTTGGAAGTTGATTCGGACAGAAGACCTACTGCAATTGAACTTCTTAAGGTAAAATAAAAATATTTAATTATTTTATTTTTTTATTATTTTATATTTCATTAATACTTTTCTATTCTATATTTTATTATTTTTATTTGATTACAATTTTTAGCATCCATTCTTACAAAAAGCTGAACCACTAAAATCTCTTGCACCACTGATTAGAGCTGCCAGAGATAATGCAAAAAGAAATTAATTGATTGATTGATTGATAATTAAATAACAGTTGTTAGTATTAAGAGTAGGTATAAATAATAATTAGAATTATCATTAGGTTATGAGGACAATTTCTTCTCTTTTTTTTTGTAAGATTTATTTATTATTTAGATTATTAGTATTATTATCATTATTGTCATTCTTCTTAGTATTCTCAGAATTCTCGGGGTAAATTTTTATATAGGTGCGCAAGATTATTTTATTTATTATTATTTATTTATTATTATTTATGGTTTCTTTGGTTCGATCTGTTGATTTCTTTTTATCTGTCATTTATATATAACGCATGTATATCCTGTCTTCATCAATGTCTTCTTTTTATTTATTTTTATTGTCATTATATTGTTATTATTTATTACTATTTATTATTTTCTCACTACCTTCCTTCCTTCTTTATTCTTTTCTTATATATATATATATATATATCACTTTCTCCTTTCTATTATATTTTTTCAAATATTAAAATATATATCTGTGCAATTTTACTTACTACATATATCTATCTTATCTTTTTTTTTTTATTTCTTGTAGAAATATTATTATTTTAATTACAGTATATGTTATTATGAGATTTATTTCATTTCATGTAAATATTTATTTAAAAGTCGAAAAAATTGATAATTACGTATTGCATAACTGTGAGATTACCTGATAAGGTAACGTCGTCATAAGGAACCCGTTTGGATATTTGCTGGATATAATTTTTAATGAATAAATAGTTGGTCCATTGTTTCAATAATCAGATTTCTAAAGACTAGGAAAATAGTTATAAAGATTAAGATATTCAATCTGTAATATCTCAATCAAGTTTGATCTAATTTATAAATTACTTTAATTATAACTTCTCAAAATTTTGTAGATCCATGGATGGCCTTTCACAAATCATAATCTTTAATTATTTTTGTAAATTATAATATTGCAGATTTTAGATTATAAATCCACAAATCCATAGTTACACAAATTTGTCAAAAAATTCTATCCTATTTAAAACTAGTAAATTTCACTGATTGGTGAATTGGGTCACAAATAAGTAAATGTCAATAAACATAATACTGAGAAATAATTTGTATCTACTATAAAAATTTCAGATCTTTTACTTTAAAATTGAACTATAGATATTTAAATTTAAGCAATTATTATTTCCTAATATGTTTTAAGTTGAAAAATAAATACACTTTATTTTTGCCTTTACATTTACATTTAATATTTTATTAATAAAAAATAAATTTATTATGTAATAATATTAGTAAATTATTTCTAATTTTTATTTTTAATTATTTAAGTTATTAACTTTCAAAATAATAATATAATTATATAATGGCAAAAATATTATAAGCTTGTAAAAATATTGCAAACTTGTAAATAAATTGCAAATTGTAAAATTACAGATTAATTTACAATATACATAATAATATTTAATAATTCTAGTTAAATTCTATTTATATCTAATTAGTTTTTATTAATATATATATATGTATATTTTTTGCATATTAGGGTCAGCTCTTGTTTGATAACTTCATGATATTTGATAATTCTTGATAACTCTTACAATCTCCAAAAAGTTTTTTCCAAGTTGATATGTATTATACTAAACTAGCAAAATATTATTCCTCAAGATCTCAACTTTATATCACTCTCATTAGTCAAATACAAAAGAATCACTGTACTGAATGGTGATTCCTATACTATAGATTATATATGTTTTCAAAATTAATTTTTGATTTTTGAGATATTTTGTCTTTTTAAAATTTATTCAGAATCTATTCTATATATGGAAGTAAAAAAAATATCTAGTTAAGTGTATTTTAATCAAGAAATTTATCTGAGTAATCAAAAAATTTTGAATTTTAAATAAAATAATTTTGTTTTCTATAAAAAACTATTTCAACTTTTTTTTTCAAAATTGTAATTTTGGATTTCAAAATAATTTTACATGCAAGTATACTATAGATCAGTTAAAAATTAATAACAATTAACTGTCCTATTACATTTTACATTATAAATTAGCTAAAATCAGAATTCTTTTTCAGTATAGTATTATACATGCTACCTAATTTCAAAATATTTTAGAATTTGAATAAAATAAGAGATTTAAATTATTTAAATTTCAAAGGTCAAAAAAGTTCAAAACTTAAAATATTTTTAACAGTCCAAAAGAATTTAGGTAGTTCAAATTATTCTAATAGCTCAAATTATTTTTGACAATTCAAATTATTTTTGATAATTCAAAATATTTTAGACAATTCAAAATATTTTTAACAACTCAAATTATTTTTAACAGTTTAAATTATTTTTGGCAGTTCAAATTATTTTTGATAACCCAAATTATTTTTGATAATTCAAATTATTTTTGATAACTTAAAATATTTTTGACAATTTAAAATATTTTTTGCATTTGACCTTTTTAAAATTTATAACATGATCTAATAATATGTCTTTTGCCATAATAATATCCTTAATACATTCACCTTTCTTCTTACCTTTCTTCTTCTTATCTTTCACTGGTTTATGAAATATTATGAGATTAAAATCAGCTTCAAAATAAATGTAAGAGAATATTTAATAAGTTTTTTTATTTTTTTTTCTATTTTTTTATTTTTATTTTTAAATAATTAAAAAACCTATATTTATCTTATCTCTTGCCTTAATAATATACTTTCCTTTCTTCTCTAGTTTGTAAAAATATCATAAGATCAAAATTAGTTTCAAGAGAATGTTTGATGAGTTTATTTTATTATTTTATTTTATTTTTTTAAATAATTAGAAATTAATATTTACTTTATTCTTTGTCTTAATAATACATTTTTCATTCTTTTCTTGATTTGTGAAAATACCATGAGATTGAAACCAATTTTAAAATAAATATAAAAAAATATTTAATAAGTTTTTAATTTTTTTTTATTTTTTTTTATTTTTTTAAAATAATTAAAAAACTGATATTTACCTTATCGTTTATCTTAATAATATACTTTTTCTTCTTCTTTTCTAATTTGTAAAAATACTATGAGATCAAAATTAATTTGAAATGAGTACAAGAGAATATTTGGTGAGTTTTTTTATTTTTTATTTTTATTTTTTTATTTTTATTTTTTAAATAATTAAAAACTTTAATAATACATTGATCTTTCTTTTTTGATTTGTAGAGACACTGTGAAATTGAAATTGGCTTCGAAATGAATATAATAAAATATTTGATAAGTTTTTTTTTATTTTTTATTTTTACTTTTTAAATAATTAAAAACTTATATTTACCTTATCTCTTACCTTAATAATATACTTCTCCTTTTTCTTTTCTAGTTCATGGAAATACTATGAGATTGAAATTGGCTTCAAAATGAATGTGAAAATGTTTGATGAGTTTTTTTATTTTTATTTTTTAAATAATTAAAATATTTATACAATCTTTATCCCTTGTCTTAATAATACACTTTCCTTTCTTTTTTTTTGATTTGTGAAATACTATGAGATTAAAATCAACTTTGAAATAAATTTGAGTAAATGTTTAATGAGTTTTTTTTATTTTTATTTTTTTATTTTTTTATTAAATAATTAAAAAACCTAAACTTACTTTATCCCTTGTCTTAATAATATATTTTTCTTTCTTCTTTCTAGTTTGTGAATACTATGAGGTTAAAAAGAGATTTGCAAAGATAAAAAAAAAGATTTTACATGTATATACTGTTTTTATTTATTTTTTTATTTTTAAAAATAAAAAAACTTTAATCTTTTTTCTTTCTCACTTTAATAATATATTTTTTCTTACTTTTTACTAGTTTATAAAGTTGAAATGAGTTTTGGAAAAACAAAAAAGAATTTCATAAAGGTAAAAAAGGTATTTTGCAGATATATGTTATTTTTTTTTAATTTTTTATTTTTAAAAATAAAAAACTTTAACTTTTTTCTTTCTCACTTTAATAATACACTTCTTCTTACTTTTTGCTAATTTATAAGAATATCTTAGTATTAAAATGAACTTCATAAGTTATTTTTAATCAAATAATATTAAATATAAATAAATATATAAATGTACATATTATCAACTTCTTTAAATAAATATGTAACATATAATGTTTAACATCTCTTTAATATTTTTGTGAAGATAATTATATATAATTATCATGATATAAATTTTTTTAATCTATTTTTTAATTTATCTATTTTTTGTAATAGATGAAGATAGTTGTGAAGAACTTGAGAAATTAGAATCTATCAGAAAACATAAAGGCTATTCAAAAAATGAAATCTAATAGTATTTTGAAATTTTAACAGTTGATTCTTCAAGTGACAAAAAAAATTTATATCCCAGAGCACAGTGTAAATTTTATAAGCAAAAATGGACATGTGGGTATAGTTTCGTATATTGTATTATATTGTTCAAACCTGTCAGTAGAAATATGTATTACATATCTTGAAATATTAAATAATAAATAATAATAATTCTTTTAAAAAATCAAAAAACAGTTAAAAATTATTGATCTTGTAGAAAAATTAATAATTAAAGATGATAAATAAAAAAGAATCTCATGAGCTCTTATCAAATTTTTTGTTTGTTATGAAATTCCATTTTGAATTGTCAAAAATTCTTTCTTTATTAATTTTATAAAAATCATTATGTTCTAGCTATCAAATTTTCAAAAAAACAAATTTATTTATAACTTTAATTAATGTCAAAACTACTGTTATTATTGTTGATATGAAAAATAAACTTTCTAATGAAACAAATTTAACTATAAATATATTTATTTAACTTTATCAGTTAATTTAATAATTAATAATAATTAATAAAATTTTAATTATTCAAAATTCTTAATTATAATAATTAATATAAAATTAAATATTTTTAATATTTTTAGGTCTAAATGGATGGACCTCACCAGCTAGTCAATATTTATACATTTTTATAATTATAACAAGTGATAGTAAAGAGTATATTCATTCTTTAAAAAATTTTCTAAGGATTCTTATATTGGAGAATTTTCAAAAAATGAAATGATTTAATTATTGAAGATGTAGGTGTAAAGAAATTTTGTTTTATAGTTTCTAATC